AGGTATTGGAGCTGTTCGCCAACGCTGGCGAAGGTGATGTAGAACATGTTGTTGACTTCGTGGTTGCGGATGAGCTGCGCCAGCCGGCGGAGCTTCTCGTCTTGGAGGAAAACCGCGTTCACAATCGACCCGGATGACATTTTTTTCTTGTTTTTTTTTTAAAAAATTTTATTTTTTGATCTCTCTTTTGGGTTAATTTTTCTGGTGTGTGTATAAATCTCTTATGATCAACTCAAAGCAGATGCATTTATATAGAAGGTTACGGAGATGTAATTATCTATCTATGTATGGATGCAGGTTGAGTGCAATTATCATTATTATTATTTTATTGTTATTATTACTATTATTGCAAAGGGCGAGCATTTTTTCAACTAAAAAGTGTGTATTTTAAAATTTTTGGTACGTGAATTTCAAGAAAAATGGCTTTAGGAAATAGAAGGAATATTGGTTAAACGAACAAAGTCGAGAAACGTAATATACGCTCTCCTTAAGACGAAATAGCCCCGTATATTACCCACGGTTCACGGCTAACGCCTCCAAGATACAATGACTTTCGATTTATGTATAGTGGTAACTCAAATACACAAACCTTCGGCGAACAATACTTATGTTTTGAACTCTCAAGATAGAAAAGAAAAAACAAAGAGCACAATATGAATATGAACTTTGTAAAATGATGCAAAGATTATGAAAATATTTCATTGTAATGACCATTTCACTTCATGGGTATTTATAGATGTTATAACATATCTCCAGGAGGTTGAAGGCATCAAAAGACACCTTTTGGGACGTACCCGGTGGATTAAAACCGGTTAGAAACCATTCCAATACGAACAGGTGCGTCAGTGTCGCGAGCTCGTCGCGCCCGCGACGCCCTGTCGCGTTGGACAGAAGCTCCGACCAAGTAGACTTTCGCAACCGCGCCTGATCGCGCGCCCGCGACGGGTCTTGTGTACAGAGTGTCGCGCCCGTGACGGTCGTCACGCCCGCGACGGGGCCTGGCACGCAGCTGCGCTCCGAAAGCTCGTACGCGTTCGTCGGACTCGGAATTTAGTTCCGTTTTTTCATACTTGTCCCCAACGAGCCCTTCCACAATTCTAGCATACTTAATGCAAGATTATGACTCGTTTAGTTTGTCCAATATTAGTCAAACTTTAATGTTTTGTGAACCTTACAACATTTGAATTACTTAAATTTAATTGTGTGATATGTGAATTTAAAAAAAAAATGGCTTTAGGAATAGAAGAAATATTGGTTAAACGAACAAAGTCGAGGCACGTAAAATACGCTCTCCTTAAGACGAAATAGCCCCGTATATTACCCACGGTTCACGGCTAACGCCTCCAAGATACAACGACTTTCTATTTGTGTATAGTGGTAATTCAAATACACAAACCTTCGGCGAACACTACTTATGTTTTGAACTCTCAAGATAGAAAAGAAAAAACAAAGAATACAATATGAATATGAACTTTGTAAAATGATGCAAAGGTTATGAAAATATTTCATTGTAATGACCATTTCACTTCATGTGTATTTATAGATGTTATAACACATCTCCAAGGGGTTCAAGACATCAAAAGACACCTTTTGGGACGTACCCGGTGGATTAAAACCGATTAGAAACCATTTCAATACGAAAAGGTGCGTCAGTGTCGCGAGCTCGTCGCGCCCGCGATGCCCTGTCGCGTTGGACAGAAGCTCCGACCAAGTAGACTTTTGCGCCCGCGCCTGATTGCACGCCCGCGACGGGGCTTGGCGCGCTACTGCGCTCCGAAAGCTCGTACGCGTTCGTTCGGACTCGAAATTTAGTTCCGTTTTTTCCTACTTGTCCCCAACGAGCCCTTCCACAATTCTAGCATACTTAATGCAAGATTATGACTCGTTTAGTTTGTCCAAATTGTTAGTTTTTTGATTAATTGTTGTCTCACATCGGATGTATACCAAAGATGTGTAGGATCTTATTAGTATAAATAGGTCCCTT